TTTTTTGTCAAACCTCCTCTAAATAGCCAACATCCAAAATTATGCAAGCAACTCATCAGTTCCAAGAGTGCTGAAAAAAGGGAACAGAATATGATCCACTGGTAGGCCTCTATTACGTTACGTTGCGGAAGCATCGCTAACCCTCAAACGCAACTGAATGATGAGCTATAAAGACCACAGGACAAACGACCAAAGAGGAGATTTTCCAGTGGATCAAAACAGTAAATTACAAGGAGCGCTTTTCGCAGATGCAACAAAGCTGTTAAGCTAAGGCAAACGTGAACAGAACACTGTCATTTCCGTGCGCTCCTTTTGAACTCAAAAATGGGTTCGAGAATCGACACTGGAAGTTTTGTAAAATCCAGCAGGAAATTTTCCAAGCAGAACTTTTCGTTCGCCAGAGATCATGCTTGTAAGTCTAGCAGAGAAATAGTGGGGCTGAATGTGCTCAGATAAAATAAATTAAAACCGGGAATTTAAGGCAGACATAATTGCGGACAATGGAGTGGTACTATATTACGCATTAGGAGGAGTGGACAGTTGCATGGGAGTGCTGTACATCCATGTTCATAGTGAGGTTTTACTGGGATAGCTTGCGGTTAATTATGATCTCATCACACAGATGACATTGCTTCCATCTGTTTCGACTGTCGGGAGCCTGATCGTGGCACTGTGCCTGAAATTACTCTTTCACAAACGTATGATACTGAAAGGCACCGGAAATCCGCGAAAAGTGACACTGAAAACATAAGCTTAAAATAATAAACATTAATTTTAATGGTAAACAACAATCCTTCCGAAGCGGACACAATCTTTGCAGAAATTAGGCATTCTGAAAATTATACTGTCAAAATTTCACAAACATAATTTTACATGAGGGCCGTCTTGTACCACTTTTGGAAAACATCTTCAAACACATCCCGGATTTCGAATATTCACAAACCTTTTCCTTCTTGCTCGACTTGTAACTTTAGCTGTCGGCTAATTTCACGTAAGCGAGCAGCGCTTGGGCCACTCAGTGAAGGTTCGCGACGGTCCAAGCCAGCTTGGAACGCCTTGACTACACGTATCTGAAAAACAAAAGAAAATGTGAATTCAGGAGTTACTGCTGCAAGTCACCTGCTTCACTATACGCCAGTTTTGCGCACTGCAATGCTTCGAAATCGGTCACTATACCACTAATAGTCGACAAAAGCATAACCAGTTGAAAAGGAAACATAAGAAAAATGTGAAATGGTACGCTTCAGGGGATAAAACGAAGGATATGAAGCATATGTATGCCTAAAGTAAGGAACATAAACGACAAACTTAGCAATAATGTCGGTCGGTAATCAGTGAACAAAACAGAACTGTCCAAGTAGCAAATTATAAAAAACGAAAACTGATGTTTTAAAAAATACCACTGGACGATCAGTGCTGAAAAGTGAAAAAAGGTGTGGCTTGCCAAGGGATGATACTATGAAAAACTGGAAGAATGAAGAATTGGATATTTCAAAGCATACTGCCTAGGTTCTAGGAAATGTTTGGCATAGCGGTGGGAATATCGGATTTGCGATAACACCCAGTAATCTCTAAAAAAAATCAGTAACTGCTTAGCAATCCATACAACTAAACTTCTCCAGAAAAAAGGAGCTGTAACATTCCTTCTTCACCACTTTCTCCCTCCCCCCCCTCCCCTCTCCCTTTCCCTGCTGCCTTCTCCTTCCTCCCTGCCACCATGATAAATTCATACTCCCAGACTTCGTTTCTAGGATGGACTGATTTCAGCAAAAGAAAATTCTAGGCGACCTTTTTGTTTTGAAGCTTAATCCTACTGATGAACAAAACCGACTCTTTCCTTTTCCGAAAAAATAAAAAAAAAATTAAGCAAGACCCATCATTACGATGTGATAAGCTGTGCTGGAAATGAATAAAATTAACTGATTAAATTATAGATAAACAGAGCTGTAACAATTAACTATAGCTGCTAATCCGAATCAGAAATACAGTTCCTCCACAGCTTTTGAGAAAACAGTGGACTCCCGGGCAAACGAAGGAAGGATGGATGAAGAGGGAGCACTTGACACTCACTCTCTTTTAACGAAATGGTACTGAAATAAACCTCGGAAGTCAACAGAATGACAAAAGGCAAGCAACGAGAAACAAAATAACTCAAAATTTCAGAAATAAAAAAGAAATCAAAAAACGGTGACACATATATATGTACACTGTTAGCCAGGTCACGCCAGGTTGGAACCACACGATGCAAGCAACAACCAACCACAGCACAGCGCAATATACACCACAAACCCGTGCAGCTTTATGAGAGAACTCAAATATTATCAGTTTTACAGTTTATTTAAAGCAGTAGCAACACTGTATTCGTAATATGGGGGACGGCCGTAGGGAAGGGAGAGGGGAATAGGAAAAATGAGGGAGCTGCCTTCATTTCCATGAAATATCCCCCGTTTTCACGATCCTCAAAAAATCATATTCCAGGTCCTTCAAAAATAAAAAATTTCCAATTCGAAACAGTTAAGCCAAGAAGCCGATCCCATGAAAACGAAACACTGTGCTTTTGCGCTTACGGCCTGGTCGGTTGGCGCTGAACTGAGCGGTACCGGTATTAAACGATCGGCCATTTCCCCGCCAATAACCTGCAATCACCGTGACACCTAGAGAGGAAAACAACAGTTCCTGAATGACACTGCAAAAAATGAAGCAAAATTTTCACCCTATCCATCCTTCCTCATTTACTGAGAGAAAAATCAGCGAAAAGCACCAGAAAGGCAGGTAAGTTCGGAGAGCCAAAGGCTTTTCTGGATCGTTGCAGCAAATGAATTTTACCGAACAGTACGGGAACAAGCATTTTGCCTGTCTTGCTGTGAGTCATCAGATGACAGTTTCTCTAGCAGATTTCCTCTTA